ACTTCTTGCTGGGGTCGTACTCGGTCGATTGTCTGCTGCACGTGAACGGTACACGCGTGGGAATCAGGCCAGCTTTTGACCTGGCCGACAGTCTTTCCTATTTACCTCGATCTGAAAGCGGCTTTCGATTCAGTCGATCGCTGTAAACTCTAGTGTTGCCTCGCTATGAAGGGTGTGCGCGAGAAGTCATTTTAAATTTTCTGATTTCCTCATACTAATAACTGAAGTTTTCCGAGCTTAAGGACACATTTTGCTCCAGTTCACTGCTGAAATTGGTGTTCGTCAGGGCTGCCACTTCTTCTTTTGTGCTTATGGAAACAGACCACTCATCATTACCCACCCTGCGCGATGACCGATGGGGTATTGAGTTTGTTCGAGAGGGGTTGGAATGGTTTTCGCTAGGAGATTATATGTGTACATTGTTATATTTTCTCTATTCAGGCAAGCTAACCTACAAGTTACACGGTGTGCGGATCTGCGAAAATGCTTATGAGCAATTTCATTTCTCGACGACGTCTCTTTATTTGTGGTACGTTCATTTCCAGAGCTTTATATTATCTGAATTTCTAATAATTACCCTACAGCAAGCAGCGTTCTAATATTAGTGCTACTCATTAACCTGTCGAGGGAAAACGAACTTCATAACAGTACATTGTTGTAAGGAAAAACAGTATGAGTTCAGGAATGCAATGTGTGAAGTGGATCAAAAGGATTTACACAAGAAGTAATTAGTTCATGATATAAAATTTGTGTAAAATGTAATTGGAAATCAAATAAAACAATAAATAAATAGAAGATAAATCATAAGCTGGTAGACTTCCGTGTTCCCACATTTGTTCGGCATAATGTAAATAAAAAATGAAAATGAAACTAAAAGCAGTCTCCGTTGTTTAGGGACCAATCTCGGCAGCTGTCCTCGTGATCATTTCACATGTCCAGCGTGTAGCAGATTGTCCGGATTGTATCGAGTGTCCCCGGCTAGAACGCTGCTGTCCTTGTGCGTGCTAAACGCGCGAATAAATTGCATGATCGACTGACACGTGGTAAGGCCAAAAACGAACGCACCAAAGACGATATAAGCACAAGCGGTGATAATGTACAATTTGGCTCGAGTGGACAAATTGAAAGGATTATTGCGCAAGGTAACGTTGAGCAAGCACACACCTGTGGTGCGAAGATAGGCGGGGGGGGGGAGGAATCAAAAAGGCAACGACAAGTGAGCCGAGAGAGAAGTGTACGTTCTTCGAAAAGCAAATAGTGTAAAGAACAGTCTCGGATACCCAGGAGACGGTTTTACTTGCACTAGACAGTATGATTCCATCACAACACTATTAATTTTGGTCTACCGCGGACTGGTAGTGAAAACAGGCGTCGTCTCATCCAAAAACGTTATGTATGTCAACCTTGAAATCTCACTCATCTTGCTCACTGGAAAACGACTCTTTGCCTCTTGATCTTAGAAATTTTATTCAATCCTTCAGGAAGCCGGATCACTGGCAAAGTAGTAGTTCGTTGGCAGGGACTTCAACCCACCACGGAAAGGAACTTATGACAGGCATCATATAACGTGATGCCACATGCATGAAACATTTGTGTGCAATTAACAGTACACCCAATCGGTAATCTAATGAATGAAACATTTACTTCCCGAAATTAATTTGAATGAATTTTCGACCAATAAGACGGGATGGCCGGTCTTTGAGGGTTCGGTGACAAGTATGCTCTCGTTACATGCCATGCGAAGCTAGCTGCGCTGTACCCTCAGCAGAAGAAGTCCCAGATATCATCAACCAAGTCACAGAAATCTCCAGGCGAGGACATTATATGCGGAAATCTACACACTATTCTCCGGCCACTGGGACTGAAATTTGCTTAAATGAATGGAACACATCGATTTTAATACCCTTCCCTGAAAAGGGGACAAATCAGACTGCAAAAGCTACAAACGCATCAGTTTGTTTGATGTAGCGGCCAATCCTTTTCCCGAGACAAAGCACGCACGCTTCCACCCAAACCAGAAGGGAATCAGTGTGATCTGCACTGATCAAATATTCACTGTACATCAACACTTGAAACACCGCCACAGGTTTCAACAACATTCTGTTTCATTGATTTTCGTGAGGAATTAGATTTTGTGGATCACGAATCCTTCTGGAACATGGTTCTGCGCGAATCCGCATCTACGACGAGGAGTTTTGCGCGTTCGCATTGGCATCTGGAGAGAAACAGGGATGCCCACTGTCCCCGATGCTGTTCAGTTCAGTTTAAACAAACATTAAGCATGTATTTTGGTGCGACGCTTTTGGCTGCCCATTTGGATGAACATTAGGAGGAAAACAAAATGGTTGAAAGTAGGATCGATGAGAAAATTGAGAACTCCAGTGAACTAATGATGCGGAGAAATTGAGATGGACGAACGCCATTGTTTACGACAACCAGGCATATCACTCGGTGTCCCTCTCTCGGTCATTCCGAGGTAACCACCCAGGAGCCTAACGAGACCTATGTGACCCAGTTCTCTGGTCATGGTTTTCATACCCTCATGCCACGTGTTAGCTTGACCACCCTGGCTTTATTACACCCACTACCTCCCTCGGCAAGCATCGCTCGCCGTGGCAACGAATTTGGTGACATGCGTAGCACATGTCCCAGCTAACATAATCTGTGGAGGTTGAACACTTGCTCCAGTAGGCGACCGCGGTTGCCTAAAACTGCGCCAGTCCTTAGCATTGCCCGTCCGACTGCCCCACCAGATTCGTGCGATGAGACGTAGACAGCGTTGTTCGAACACCGACAGTCTATCTCTATCCTGTTTTGCTAATGGCCAAGTTTCTGCTCCATATAGCAGAACTGGCCGAACTGCCACAGCATACACTCGACCCTTCACAGACAGACGGATGCTGTTCAGCTTTGCCGTTTACTGGATAATGGGTCGTTTGATGGAAGGATACCAAGGAGTTCAGATCTCTCCGAATTTATGGCTCACCTACTTTCAATTCGCTGATGATATTGTCGTATTTAGTGAGGACGTGCCCATACTCCAAGTAGTCGTTAATCATATCAGTCGACAGACCAGTGAGATAGGCTTAGAGGTGAACACATCAAACACCAAAATGTTTGCGACAGTCCCAATTCATCCCGAAGATGCATTACTACAAAACGGCGATCCGATCGAATCCCTCAAAAACATTAAAAACCTAGGCTCAATCACACTTCTCAACGGCCAAGCTAAAGACGAGGTACAATTGCGTGTTGATGCTGCAAGAAAGACGTTTCTACAGCAGAAGAATTCCCTTTAACAAAGCAATTAAATTAGCCTAAAGACAAAAATACGAATTTTCTCCGTCGAAGTCCGTTCTGTCATGCTAAACGGCTGTGAAACCTGACCAATAAGAGTCGAAGACTGTAGATGACTAGAAGTCTTCGATCAATGGTGCATAAGAGTTATTCTTGGGTTTAGATGGAGTGATCGGAAACCGGTGTTTTAATCTTATACCCTAATACAAGTGGGACGACTACAATGGTTTGGTCATATAGTTCGTAAGTCTGATGACGACCTGACTT